CACTGTCACAGACACACTTTGAATGTTTAACCAAATAGCTGGGCACTCCTTGACCCTGTCAAGTTAACACCTAAAATTAATCATCACAGACATGAAAGTTTCGCACTACATTTGTTTTTTTATTTTTTAATTTGCAAAGCCATATCTTGTTTTGGATCTTACTTTTGTTCTAAGAAACTTCTCAAATTTTGACCAAATGCTATAAATTTGTTAGGGAAGCTATTTCCCATTCAATAGCCTTTATTATTCAATAAAATCTATTTTTCACTTAAGGCCTTTCACCTAAAAACACAAATGAATAAATAAGAATTAGCATAGCAAAGCATCTGCCTGTGGATCTACTTCAAAACGTGGCTTGACTTGACTCTCTTAGTGGTTGCTTTTGTTGAATAGAAGTTCATAATTTTAATGAAGTCCGGTGTATCAATATTTTTAAGTTAGTGCTTCTGAGGCTTTAAAAGCAATATTTGCCTACCTAAGGCCATGAGAACAATCTCCTTTGTTGTCATATAGAAGTTTTAATATTTCACCTTTCACATTTAGATCCGATCCATCTAGAATGGATTTTGTGTAAGGTGTGAGGTAAGAGTCAAGATTCTAGTTCTTTTTTTCCATATTGGTATCTAATTGACCCAGCCCCATTTACTTAAAAGACCAACACATTCCCCAGACTGCAGTGGGACCTTGGCAATAGGTAACTGTCTGTATAGGAGTAGGTCTGTTTCTGGACTCTTTATTCTGTTCCACTGTTCTGTTTCTCTGTCTATGCACCAACATGACACTGCCTTAATTATTGTTCAAGGATGAAAAAAAAACAAATAACATGGGAATAAGGGCTAAGGAGAAGATATATTACTATCCTGCATCTTAGGAGCTTACAAATTTGGGGCAAAGACCAAACATGAGGGGGAAGAGTGAGGCAGGATGGGATTTATAACTTCCGGGTAAGCACTGGAACTCTGGTGTCAAACTCTGGTGGATGCAGTTCTAAGACAGAGAGTACGACACACGTGGGTTTGCTCCTGTTGAGGGCAGGCTTGGTCTTGTCAGCCATTGAGCTATATGGAGTAGATATGAACATTGAAACTCAAGATTATAATGTGCTCTTGGACAATAATTTCTAGAAATAATTCATACCAGACAAATTTCCATCAAAATATAGGACAAATGTATGCTATAAGTGTGAGAATAATTGAAATAGTTTTTCTTGGGTTTGATATTTGATGTAAGTTTTTTTATATATCAAAAGCCAACTAAAGGCAACTTAAATAGTCAAGAAAAACGTAATTGGCTAGCTTCATTGTGGTTCATCCATATGTTACTCTATACAACTGTTAGATATTTTATAACAGAATGATTAATTGCATGAAAAAATTTATTATCTACTAAGTTCAAAAAAAGCTTTCTATGGAGTAGCAGATACAGCATAATCCCAAGATACATTAAAGAAAATGTATTTTTATGCATTGATAAAAAACTAGAATAAATATACCTAAGTATTTGCAGTGGTTATTTCTGGGTGATAGGATGAGAATATTTTTATTTTCTTTTTTATACTCTTCTGTATTTCTTCAAGAACCAGTAATATTTTAATTATTATAAGAAAAATAATTTTTTCCACTTAGTTCTACATTCATCCTTTCTGTCTTTATGTCACTGGGCTAATGTATTTACCAATGATATTGGACATACCTGAACCGTATATGTAATTATGCAGAAAAAGCATGAAAGGCAACCATTGAATAAAATCATAATAGAATAAATTTCAAATTTCATAAAACCTTCTTGCCCTTGATTTATTTTAGCTCCTTTCTAATTTCCCTCAGACACATAGTTCTTCCTCATTTGCGTGGGTGACTTAATCTGGGTGAGGCTCAGAGAAGCATTCAATGATAATTGTTTTAAATTTCTGTAGGTGGACAAAAGGTGTCTCAGAAAGAAGTAGCGACAATAAATGCTTTCAATATTAGCAGAGACTAAATAACAAGGCTGAAATCTAATTCCTGTGCAGTCCCTTTTGTAGCCAAACTAAGTGTCCCACGCTTTAAGAGAGAGGCAGACAGCTCGACGGGCTGGCATGGTAGTGTCAAGCTTCTCTCTCAGACATTAACACCTTTCCACTATTTCTCTTAACACGGAGCAGTACTCAATGCAGGAAAGATGAAGTTACACACAAAAAAAGTTTAATATTTAAAATATTTATTTATTGCTTTGTCTCTAAGAAGATGTAAGATATCTTAAGAATTTTTAAAAATTAATTTCAAATGCATCATCTGAACCAGACAGGATATAGACACCACTGAACCTAAAGGAAAGCTTAATGAAATGCCTGGTGCTCAGAAACCTGGAATCAAGCCTGGAAGTTTCTTTTCTCCCTGGTCCTCTGGGCATTTCTCTGGAGCCCCAGGGCTCTGCACTTGAGCACTGTTCTTCACCTCTTCCATTGTCGCGAAAACTCATGTTGGGTTCCTTAGAAAAAGGAGACAACTCAGAGAAGTGGATGGGCGGGGCTAGATTTGAGGGTGATTTGAAGAAGAAGAGAAGACCCGTTCTCTATAGCAAAGAACTATAATTAAACCACTCTGTTGGGTTAAGACTTTGTCACTACAAAACTCCTGTAAAAAATATGAGCATGTTTCTTGAGAAGCTTAGCACGTCAACCCTATTACACCTACTAACCAGGACAATTTCACTATTCTATTTACCTATTAACTTAGAAATTGTAATGGTTAACTGTATACGACAACTTGACTGGGCCACAGGTCAAAGATTACTCTGGGTGTTTCTGTGAGGGTGTTTTTGGATGAGTTTAACATTTAAATTGATAGGCTGAGTAAAGAAGATTGCTCTCTCTAATGGGAGTGGGCCTCATCCAATCAGTTGAAGGCCTGAATAGAACAAAAAGGCTGACATTTACCCTGAATAAGAGGGAATTCCGCCTGTCTGACGGCTTTCAGAATCAAACTGAAACATCAACTCTCCCTCCGTCTCAAGCCTCCGCCAAACTCCATCATTGGTAGTCCTGGGTCTCCAGCTTTTCTGGGACTTGCCAGCCTCCATAATCAAGTGAGCCAATTCCTTATTTTGTATATATTTATATATAAAAATATATAACATTTATATATTTATATATTATATATTATAAATATATAAATATTTATATATAAACTATATGTTTTTATATTATATATTACATATTAAATATATATTATTAAACATTATTAATTTCATATTTAATATTATTAAATATTATATATTATGTATATAAATATTTATATATATATATCTCCTATTGGTTCTGTTTCTCTGGAGAACCCTAACATAGATATCTAGAACATCATGGAATTAATTTCACACATACACACCAACTTTGCGCAGAGTTGGCCATCCAGGCCAGTGCCATGCACATGTCAGCACAGATTATACCCACAGGATAAGTGAATTCGTCTGATGGGCAGGAAAGAGGGGTGGCTGCAGCGTCTGTCCCCTGGGAGGCAGGGTCCTGTGTGCAGAGACAGATCCAGCCCAAGAAAGAGCTAAAGCTACCAGAGTGTAAAATAACTTTGATGAAAACATTTATGCTCTGAATTTTCAATCTCATTTCCCATTCAGTAGTTTTTAGGTCACCAAAAGTGAATGGAAAATGAATAAATGCAGTCTGTCTTGGAACATGTTTGTTCCAGGTGAATGCACCACTCCATTCAATGAGTGTTCAACTACTCAAATATTTTTGCCTAGAATTCTTTTTTTATTACTCTATTTATTTAAGCTTAAAAAAAAACACCCAAATTCGAATTCTTTTGTTTGGAATAAATTTGGGAAGAAAAAAGCCAAATCAATGAAGAATTAGGCATTTTTAAGTTTTTCTATTTGGATGTGTCAAATTCCAGGTAACTGAACACAGTAACATGCAGCAATGGTAAGTTTCAACGGGCTGAAAGAGTTAGTAGATTTGCAAACCTCAAGATAAATCAAGCAATCAGCACCCTGAGATATCTAATTTGCTTACATGTGATAATTAATATTTTAAAATACAAAACAATCTTTCAGACAGGCAAGTTTAGGGGTCAAAGCCAGAGGACTCGCGCAGTTCTTTTCGTATCAGCACAAACAGTTCACACACATGCAAAGCCGAGAAAATAACCATCAGACCCAGGTGATCCACTTGGATGACAAGAAAGAGGAATTTGCTCGGCATCTTCCGTATTATCTCAAGAGTTTACATAGAAAATGAAATGAGGAGAAATGTTTCTGAAACCAACTTAGCCCCCAGCCCCAAACCAAAATCGAACCCGGGACTTTTCCTAGGCGCCAGCAGAGCGACGGGCGGTGACGGGAAAGAGCCGGGCGCCTCTGACCGAACCGGGCCGGCGGGCAGGAGCCCTGGGCCGGGGAGGCCCCTCCTCTGGGCTTTCGGAAAGCTGCTGGAAGCGCCCTTTCCCCGCGGGCTCCTCCACCCGGAGGCCGCCACTGCGGGACGCAGGCGGGTGGGGGACAGAAAGGCCCGGGAAGGAGACCGCGGGGACGGCGACGGGACGCGAGCGCGGGGGCCGGGCCGAGAGCGTGTCCCCGGGCGACGCCGCTGCTGTTGTCCCGGGTGCTGAAGAGCCGGGAACTTCCCGGGAGCAGCAGCCACTTTCCTCCCTCGGCGCGTGGGGTGGGGGTCCAGGGTGCGCACCTGCTCAGCCCGTCCTGGCCCCGGGCCCGGAGGCGCCGGCCAATGCGGCCTCCCCGGCCCGGTTCTGAGGGAGGAGGTGGATGGGGGGCGGTGCGCATCGCCGGGCGCCCCAGACCGGACCCCGGACGCCCCTACCCCGGCCCTCCGGCCGCCCCGCGCCGCGCCTTCCGCTCCACCTGCGCGCGGACTCGGGCCGCCGGGGGACTCGGGCGCCCGCGGGCTGAGGGCGGCGGGAGCCGGGCAGGGGCTGAGGGTGCCGGGTGCGGGGAGAGAGCGGCCAGCGTCCGGGGATTGGGGGGGTGGAGGAAAGAGCGCGCGGGGCATGCGCAGTGGGGCGGAGGAGGTGGCGATGGCCGGGGGAGGGGGGGGACTGCTGTTTATTTGCAGCTGGGCCAACTCGCCGGCGCAGGCGGCGGCGGAGCGCGGGGCGCCAGCGGCGGGTCCAGCGGCCGCCGCACCATGCCCGAGCCCGCCTCCGGGCAGCCGCCGCGCGCCGCCGGGGCCCCGGCCGGGGAGGATGCCAGACGCCCGGGAGAGGCCAGGGCAGCGGCGGCGGCGGCGGCGCGATGGTGGTGACCAGCTCTGCCCGAGGCGGCGGCGGGGACCGCGCGCCCTCCCGGCAGCGGGACTGCGGACTCGCGCCGGCCGGGGCTGCGGCGCTGCTGGCCGGGGCGAGCTGCCTGTGCTACGGCCGCTCCCTGCAGGGCGAGTTCGTGCACGACGACGTGTGGGCGATCGTGAACAACCCCGACGTGCGGCCCGGCGCCCCGCTGCGCTGGGGCATCTTCACCAACGACTTCTGGGGCAAGGGCATGGCCGAGAACACCGGCCACAAGTCCTACCGGCCGCTCTGCGTCCTCACCATCGAATGCGCCCGGGCCCGGAGAAGTTGCGGCACTGGATTGAGGACGGTCTCTCTATTTTGCTGCCTCTTCCCCTCCACGCCTCCCTCCTCCCCCGGCGGTCCTCGCCAATCTGCTCCACGGCCCTCCGCCTCGCTTCTTTCTAGAGGCGCAGATTGGGGAGTTGGGACAATTTTCCCAAGTCCCTGCGCTCTCGGCCGATTGTTCTCTCCGGAGAGAACTGACAGCAAGCTGAAGGAGCCTCATCCTCACTTGCCTTCCCCACCCCGGCCCCAACCCCCCGCCCCATAGTGACCCAGAGACCCAGCCCCGGTACAGCCGGCTCCTGGGGGAGTGTGGAAGGGGAGCGGGACGCTGCTCCCAGGGTGGTGATTTCTGAGAGTCTTGTGGACAGCTTTGCGGCTGGTAGGACTATCTGAGCCCCTGTGGGTTAGTGCTGAATCACAGGAGGAGGTAGCTGGGATCTGCCAGCTGCCTGGGTTTGGGGGAAAAGGCAGAGGAAGTGTGAAAACTGTAAAGGGTCTGAGATTTTACCTTGCTTAGACGCAATTAGCCGACCACAGTTTTATAGATGCTGGCAGAAGACAGAAGCTCCCTGGGTCAGAAACTAAAAGTACCTCATGACTGTGTAACTCAGGACAGAACAGTCAGCATGAGCTTCCTGTTCAGTTTCTTCCTTTCACCCCCAAAGTCCCATGGGGGTGATGCAGAGGAGGGCCTGGGTGGGTAGTTCACCCACAGCGCATCTGTGTCACAGCCAGTGAACCCCAATACTTTGAAGGAGATCTTAGCAATCCCTGCACCCCGACCTTTTCCCCAGAGGAAACGTTGTCTTTATCATCCTGGTCAGAAAAGAAATCTGGCGTCTCTTGCAAAGTGAGACACTCTCTCAGATATCCTTGAAAAGATAGTCTGGGACAAGAGCGGTAAGAAGAGGTGCAGAAATGCGTGGGGAATTTCTCCCCAACAGGAAGCAGGAGTGGAGCCCACCCCACCCTTGGCTGGAGCCTGCTAGGCTGTGACTCTGAGGAAGAAAAGGATTTTCAGCACGTTCAGATCTTCCTCCTCTGGGACGGTGTATTGAAGCATAATAAGTGGGGGTGGGGTGGGGAGATCCTTCCTAAATGTGCAAGGCTGTCATCATTGTACTTCCTAAGGTCAAATCCACAACCACAGAGGTTCTATCTATGCCCTTCTGTTGGCAAACTGCCTTCCATTCATGCTGGTGGCCAGTTTTCCCTGAGGAGAGGTCACTTTTATTTCAGACAAAAAGACATACCCATGAACTACTGTTTTCTAACACATCCAATGGAGCAAAAGGACCTGAAAATACCCTGTCCCCATAGGAATTAACACACCCCCTCCTCCCCTCAGCACTCCAGCAAACTTTAGAGGTCTAAAGGACAGCTAGGTGACTGCTAAAACTAATCACTCAGCAACCAATTACGAGGAAGATATTTGGCGTTGATATGATCTAAGGGGTTTGTTTAGGGAAGGATTCATCCTGAGCTAACATCTGTTGCCAATCTTCCTCCTTTCTTTTCTTTTTTTTCTTTTTTCCCCAGAGCCCCTGTGCATGGTTGTATATCCTAGTAGTAAGTCCTTCTAGTTCTTCTACGTGGGACGCCACCACAGCATGGCAACTGAGAGATGGGTGGTGTGGTTCCTGAGCCACCGGAGCAGCGAGAGCACCAAAGTTTAACCACTAAGGCCATCAGGGCTGGCTCCTATCTAATTTTTTAACTTTTGCTGACTTCTTTTTCTGAGGGCTTTCTTCTGGGACCTGCCACCTTCTACATGTGGTTGGTGATCTTCTGTGTCCTCAGTTCCCACACCCCTTCTTTGGAGCAGTTATTACTCTGAATACTAAGGTGACAGTAGTGACAATAACTACTCCTAAACCTGGTCATGGGCTCCTCTCTGTCAGCTCCCCTTCCGCTTTCTCCATGCTCTCACCCTCCCCTTTCCCTTAAAGCCATGTGAGGATGTCTTGCATGAAACTTGCATCTCAACCATGAACTTTGCTTTCTCCTCCAAGTGTGCTGTTGCGTTTGCATTGGAGTCTGCGAATCGCATCCTTTGGTACTTCAGAGCCGCGGAGTGATGATGGTTTGCTGATTATTCCTGGTACTGGAGGAAATGCAGAAGAAGAGCAAAGGATTAGGGGCCAGAGGGACTCTCCTTAGAGGTGTGAACGAAGACATGAGTGGAGCTATATTAACATACAGCCAAAGCAACCATTTCAGAGGAATTGCCTTGCACGTCGTGTTTTCTCTATCTTCCAAATTGGACCAAACCACCAACACTCCAAGAAGTCAGTAAGGACAGAATAACCTGTTTGTAAGGATTTAAAAAACTGGACTTTGCTGATGACCAAATAGCTAACCAATCAATGCAGTACAAACCTAGCCTTACCTCATCTAGAACCAAAGAACTCTTCTTCCCCGGTACATAGTTGTGTATTCTTCGTTGTGGGTTCCTTTAGTTGTGGCATGTGGGACGCTGCCTCAGCGTGGTCTGACGAGCAGTGCCATGTCCGCACCCAGGATTCGAACCGCCGAAACACTGGGCCGCCTGCAGCGGAGCGCGCGAACTTAACCACTCGGCCACGGGGCCAGCCCCCAAAGAACTCTTCTTTAATACAACTCCCCTCATCCTCCCTTTTTTCCCGTAAAACCCCGAAGCTCCTCTCCTGCAATCAGAGCATATTTTGGGTTTCTGCCTGAATCTGTGTCTCCCAATTGCAATTCTAATTGCCCAAGTTAATATCTGCTATTTAAATTGTAGTGCCTTTTCCTCGGTCAACAAGGAAAAACCAGAAGAACCAGAAGTTGTTAGGGATCGGTTGAATGATCTAAGGAGACTATGGAAACCACTTATAAGCATTTGAGCCGTGATGATGGCAAGAGGTGGGGAAGGAGAAAGACCAGGGGCTTTAGAGGAAGACAGGAGAATGTGCTGGGTGTTTAGTGTTGAGCTGTGGATTCTTACAGGACAGTCTTGTAGAATCCATCATTTCGGCCACAAAGATGATAAATGAGCATATTTCAGTTTTTTCTTCCATAGATTTTAGCTTAAATGGTAATGAATGTGTCCATGAGTTACCAGAGAGAACTGGGTTTGGCTGGAAAGTATGGCAGCTAGCTCTGCCCTGAAACTTGCAGATCCCTGGGCCCCTCCAGCTCTATTAAATTAGCATTTATGGAGGACAGCTCAGGGAGTCTGCTTCATACCAAGCACACTGGGTGATTCTTAGATCCTCAAAAGTCGGAAGCCACTGGTTATGGTAATAGCTAACAGTTATTTATGTAGCATTTACTGGGTGCAGCATTTACTGTTTAAAATATTTAATCATTTTAATCCTCATCACCATCTCAAGAATTAGGTACTGTTATTATTGCTACAATTTTATAGATAAAATAAACTGAGGCACAGAGAGGTTAAGTGACTTGCCCAACTGACGCAAGTAAGAAGTGTCAGAGCCAGGGTTGCCCCTCTCCTGTCAGTCTGGCTCCCAACTCCATGCTCTTAACCACCACAGCAGGTGGCCTCTCTGAGGACAGTTAACTTTGAAGTCCTGTCGGCCTCATGGGATGGAACAGCCAGAGGAGTTAGCTTATAACATACTTTTATCAAAAGTGAAATTAGAGGGGCTGACCCTGTGGCCAAGTGGTTAAGCTTGCGCACTCTGCTTCGGCGGCCCAGTGTTTCACCAGTTCGGATCCTGGGCACAGACATGGCACCACTCATCAAGCCATGCTGAGGCGGCATCCCACATAGCACAACCAGAAGGACTCACAACTAAAAATATACAACTATGTACCTGGGGGCTTTGGGGAGAAACAGGAAAAATAAAATCTTTAAAAAAAAAAAAGTGAAATTAGAGCCAGCCCTGATGGCCTAGTGGTTAAAGTTTGGCGTGCTCTGCTTCAGCAGCCCAGATTCGGTTCCTGGGGACAGAACCACACCACTCATCCATCAGTAGCCATGCTGTGGTGGTGGCTCACATAGAAGAACCAGAAGAACTTACGACTAGAATATATAACTATGTACTGGGCTTTGGGGAGAGAAAAAAAGTGAAATTATCTTTTCTTTTTGTTTTTAAACAAAAGTAAATGAGTGATTTAAGTGCACATGTGAAATATATGCGAGCATGTAGTGATTTGAAAACCCTAGATTTGTCCTCTGATAGCTTGGTCATAGGGCTTATGTCTTTTTGTTTTGACATTTAAGGTTGGGAGAGTTTTAATTTTGAAAAGCGGCTTCCTCGTTTGAAATAGCAAAAAGCTTTCATGAGAATTTTTATTGCTCTTCAAAAAATTAGATTGAGATTGCCTGCCTGTGAAAGGACTTCAACTCCAGACTTAAGATATTGGACCTCAAAGAAGCATTTTATGCAGGTCTTTCCCAGGTTGCTCTTCTTTCAATGGTGACACTCATATTGTAAACATTCTGGGTTATTTGGGGGAGTTTTTTGTTGCTTTTGTCAGGGTCTTTTGGTGGCATTTGGTTAACTAGATTCTTCTTTCAGCCATTATGTGCATATTTTTCAACTCATACTATACATCGTAGAATAATAATATTTATAATGATGAACTGAGGCACTCCAAGATCTGGAATTATTTTCTACATTATCGCAAATGAAGACTCTGCCCTTGAGGAGGTTATATTCTAGTAGCAGGAGGCAAAGAATAAGCAAATGATGAATAAATAGTCATAGGACTCTATTGGCCTACGCATCCAGACAACAGACAGAATGGAGAGAATAGACAATATCCTAGAAACACACTAAAAGAGCATGTTTCTTGAAATGAATGAACAAGATAACATAGGATAATATAATATAGCGTCAAGGCAATATTGAGCAATTTGACATGCACACAGGAATGTCCACCACAGTGCTTCTTTCCTGGTATTTTCTATCACAGCTTCCCAGGAACACGCCCACCCTACCCCTGGTTTGGACCTTCTTAATTCCCACCCTGAGCTGTTCTCTCTCCCTCAGACTGGCCAGAGATTCTCTAATCATCCACAAAGGCATTAAAACTCAACTCAGTTTATTTATGTCCTCTTCCCAGGGGTGGAAAGGAGACGTCCCTGTTGATTGGGATCATTAGAAATTCCCCAGGGAGACATGGACACATTATGTTCTTCCTGTGTGTGAATATGGGTTTACCAGAAGCCCCGGGGAGCCATGTGTTTATAGGCACAGTTCCTGTTCTAGAAGGGTAACTACCTGCAGTGTTTACAGTGTACAGGCCCTTTGGAAATGGTCTCCAAGTGATTTTAAATAAACAGAAGTGAGTTAGAGGCAGTGTTGCTGAAGCATGTTATTTATTCTGGGTAGGCTCCCTGGAGAAGGCTGAACTGATGCTATGTTGAACTCCCTCCTCACAAGGAGAAGGTTTTCTGGGGAGCCTCGGTGAAGGGCGGAGAAAGGGGTAAGGAGGGAGGGACAGAGGGAGAAGGGCCTCTTTGCCACTGGGTAACTGTCCGTAAAACAGGTTGGGGAGAGGAGTAGGCTTTTTACAAACCTTCCAAGATCTGGAATTAAAATTTAGGGGCTGCTACTTAGGAACATCGCGATGACGTGGAACGTTAAAGTGAAAGAGACATTCAGAGTGTTTCAAGCGGGGCTTCGTAACTTGGGCTTTGGGGTTTTGGCTGGGAGGGAGGCAATCTTTGAAGTCCTTGAAAATATAGGCAAATTGTTGTTCATGTGAGCACATGTGCATTTTTCTGGGGAGGATGTTCTTAGCCTCCATCACACAAAGGAATCTGTAAGAAACCGTCTTGGTCTTCTCTCTTCCCCTCGGGGACAGCTGCTTTCATATTCCCTTCCGGGGAATTTTTATATTCCCTTATATTCTCGTCAAGTGTTGCAGTCATTGCTTTTTTTAACCTGAGCTGTTTTTCAAAAAGGATTAAAAGAGAAAGATGTACTTTATCTAACGCACCAGGCTTCTGAGAGGGTGAAGAAGACAATACGTGTCTCTTCTCCTCTTTCCCTTCAGACACTGTGCCCATGACTTACGTTGCTTTCCAGATTGTGTGCCCCTGAGATCTCTCCCGTAAAATGTCGCCCTCTCCCAGGAATGGTGCCTCTGGTGTCAGTGAGCTCATTACTGCCCCTCCTCCCTGGGCTGTTTTCCAAGGAGGTGGAGAGAATTTTACCTGGAGCCAAGGTCATTTGCATTCATATTCGCCACAGTCTGGAAGGTTCTCAGTCTGTAAGAGATTGCTATCAAGATTATTTCAAGAAGAAAAAATGTTTTCTTTTCCTATTACCTGGCCTATGTTTTAGTGAAAAATGAAGACTCAACCAAATACAGTCAGAGACTCATAGAACCGAGAGACCATCATTTCCAGCTTCCAACTCAATACAATAATTATTCCTTCATTCCACAAACATTCATTTAGAGCCGACTCTGCATTGAGTGTGGAGGATACAATGATGAACAAGACAAAGTATGAAAAAATTACTCGTGATCCATTAAAAGGGGCAGCTAAGGAGTTTTAAAAATTGGTTACATGCCATAATGAAGGTACATTCAGGGTGATGTGGGACCTGAGATACTTTCCTTTTTGGATGGTATTTCAGGTGGACTGTCATCGTACTTTGCCCAGACAGTTTTGGTTACCTAAGCACCTGTCCCAGTTTTTAAATATCAATTCTTTCCTTGACTGAGCCAAAATTGCCTCTTGGTTACCAGTATATTGAGTATAAATACCCAAAGGGTCAGGATGGTATACTAATTGCGTGAATTGAGCTGACTGTTGGGTTATATACTTTCGATTCAGGCACACTTTGCCTATTAAACACATGCCAATACTTTCCTCTCTCAAAGGAAATATACTTCCTTCTATTTCTCTTCTTAAGTCATTTTGACCTGTCTTTTGATTTCCCATGTTTAATAATAACATAGACTCACAAAACATTCCACTCTTCTCTTTACTGTAAGAAGAACAATAATGCATGTGTAATGATAAATGATAGCTTCCAGTTGGGAACACAGAAGGATTTACAAGGACTATGGCAAATCATGAACAATGCCTAATCTAAATCAGTGCCCCATAATCTATCCAAACCGGCCCAGTGTTACCAGTTCTTCTGACATTTCAAGACAAGCCAGAAGTAAAATTTTTTTTTAAGTGTGAAATCTGACTTTTAGATGTTGGCATATTAAACATATAACAGTTAACCAAAATAAGTTCACAGACTAGAACTGGCCTAGGGCAGCCTATTTGCCACATCTGAATAGACAATGCTCTTAGTAACTCACAAAGAGGAAACTTCCTCTTTTAGGGGTTGCTCAGAACAAATATGTTCCTTCAGTATTTCATTCATGCATTCGTTCATTTATTCATTCATTCTTCCATCCATGTACTCATGCCAATATTTACTGAGTGAGTACTATAAGCCAACCACTGTGCTGAGCACTGCGTATATGGTGGAAAGTATGATAAAGACCCTGTCCCCCAGAGAATTTGCTCTTATTTTCATCTTTCATCTT